TAGATGTCTCAGGTTATTATACCTTGGACATGTCAGAAGAATATATGATTCATTGGGAAAGGTGATAATGTTTGGTAAAGACACAGAGCAGCTAAGATCAGTCTCAGGCACACATTGAAGTGCATGATAATGAAGAACACTTTCCACATTAAGGCCCACATGAGGAAAATCTGCAACACACGCACACATCTCTCTTTTCTTGTTAAACCCAAAAGGCTTAGGATTCAAACAGATTTCTCTCTGATCCAGATAGTTTGCCGGGGGGAGGGGGTCCTCTTCTACTGGAAGAGGAACAGCATAATAGGCTTGTGTGCGGATTCATTTTGGACGTTTGCCTTCGGCTTGTTTGGAAGCCCGTAACAACATGGGCCTCACAGACATTTTTTGTACCAGCGACAACAGTGGCTGTTGAAAACCGGCTCTTTTGGTTTCTTTTGGTCACATGTGGAGTGTGGGGAGGGAGGCAGCTGCTAGATGGAAAAGGATCCCAGGAAGTGAAGTTTCTTAAGCCCTCCCTTCTAACTTGATTTGGAAGCAGAAAGGAGATTGAAGTGCAAGGGAGTAAGGTGCCAGTTCTCCTTCCCGGGACTTCCAAATCAAGAGAGAAGGGAGGGCTTTTTAAAGGAAGCCGAGGGTCGATCCCTCTGCCTTCTTTGAGAAATGGGAAATCCCTTTAAATGCCCTGGAAAAAGAGCTGTGAGGTGTGTCCCCTCTTGAGCAGAAACAGCTGTAACAAACCATTAAGCCCAGGTCTCCTCTATAGACAGAGGGGAAAGGATAGTAGAAAGAGTGGTATCTTAACTCTGATGCTTTTAATCTAGGTCTTAATGAAGGATATAAGGCCTAAAATGATGAGAAGGAGAGCCTGGGAAGGTCCCCTCCCATAATGGGTTGGATAGAAAGCAAATCTTTTGGCTTCCCAGATTGAAAACGGATTTCTGTCCTCCAGAATTTGAGAGGCTCCCGAAAAATGGATCGGGACCCTCTCCGAAATCCGGGACACCGGAACAGATAGTGGTTTATCCAGATTGCACAAGACTACAGAATAAGCTTTGGCATTCATGTGGAAAGTTTTTCCTGCCATGTGAGTAATGTCAACACAGAACAACAGTCTTCAAACAAAAGCAGGCAACCTGGTCAATGTACTCACAATAGTCTTTTTATTGTAGCCTCTTCACAGAAAGATTCAAATGCATCTCCCCACATTCCTCTGGTCTTCCCTTTTTATATTCCTCCAGCCCCATCTTTCCCACACACCTCCTTCACAATCACTCAACATGTCTTCATCCACATCATGCATATCTTTCCATTGGATTAAAGGAGTATGCTTTCTTTGCTCCAAGAGTGGGACTCACTGCCTTCCTCACACTCTTGCAGAGGGTTACTGCAAGGTTACCGCCTGTCTTAGGAGAAGACCGCAAAGCTGTAGTAATGAGCCATTTTACATCAAAAGTTCAGACTTCTCTTAGTCATTTTTGAACTCTGTCTAGTTTTTCAAAATGCATCCCAGGGGACAGCAAGCAGAATTCTGAGACTGACAACCTCCCAGTCTAACCTTATGGATGGTGACAACAGCCTTTTGTACGTCCAAGGTGTCTACATGGTAGAATGCACAATGGAGGACCTTCTCATATTGACACCAGAAGCACCCCAAGTGGCCTGCTTCTGGTCAAAGGAAATCAAGTATAATGCCAAGTTTTAAACTTTGTTTGTGTTCTTTTAAATACATTTTAACAGTACCCTCAATTCGCTTCTGAGACGATAAATGTATATAAATAAAAATGTAATGTTTGTTTGTGGACTTAACATAACTCAAAAACCACTGGATGAATTGACATCAAATTTGGACACAAGACACCTAACAACCTAATGTATGTCCTTCACTCAAAAAACTGATTTTGTGATTTGGGAGTTGTAGTGGCTGGGATTTATAGTTCACCTACAATCAAAGAGCATTCTGAAGCCCACCAACGATGGAATTGAACCAAACTTGGCACACAGTTCTCCCATGACCACAGAAAATACTGGAACGGTTTGGTGGGCTGTCCTTTGGTTTTGGAGTTGTAGTTCACCTACATTCAAAGATGACTGTGGACTCAAACAATGATGGGTCTGGACCAAACTCTACAAAAATACTCAATATGTCCAAATGTGAACACTGGTGGAGGTTGGGGAAATAGAATCTTGACATTTGGGAGTTGTAGTTGTTGGGATTTATAGTTCACCTACAGTCAAAGAGCATTCTGAACCCCATGAATGATAGAATTGGGCCAAACCTCCCACACAGAACCCCCATGTGGGCCACAGCAATGGCTAAGGGGGACGACTAGTCTATATAAATAAAAATGTAATGTTCGTTTGTGGGATTAACATAACTCAAAAACCACTGGATGAATTGACACAAAATTTGGACACTACACCCCTATCAGGCCAACGAGTGACCATCACTCATAAACCCCCCCCCCCCCCAAAAAGTGGAAAGGACTTTAAAACACAAAAAAGGCTAAATGACAATACAGCACTTGCATGAAAACGACTCCCCCCTCTCCCCGTGCAAGGGAAAAGAAAACAAACAGCCACCTCAGCAGTCCTTGCCCATTCCTGTGCTTCAGTCACATTGGAAGGTTGTGGCCCTCGACAATGACAGTGGTTGGGAGGAGCAATGAGGAGATCTAAGGGCAACACGAGGGCACTAACCGTGGAGCCTTTGCTCTGCAGAGAGCAGGGACGCACCTCTCTCAAGCACTGCCTTTGAGCCCAACTCTTTTCCGGCCCATGTCTAGAGGGAAGGAATGAAGGAAGGAAAGGGGGAAGGAAGGAAGGAGAGAAGGTGGAAGGGAAAGAGGGAAAGAAGGAAGGAGGGAAAGAAAGAAGGAAGCAGGGAAGGAAGGAAGGAAAGAAAAAAGCGAAGGAGGGAAAGAAGAGGGGAAGAAGGAGAGAAAAGGGAAGAAGAGGGAGGGAGGAAGGAAAGAGAAGGAAGGATGGAACAAGAGAAGAAGGAAGGAAAAAGAGGTAGAGAAAAAGAAAAGGAGAAAGAGGGAAAGAAAAGGGGGGAAGGAAGGAAAGAGGGAGGAAAGGAAGGAAGGAAAGAAAGAAGGAGAAAAAGAGGTAGGGAAGGTTGGCCACAGCAACACGTGGCGAGTACAGCTAGTCAATAAATAAATCTGAAATCAAACTAAGCCCTGGAACCTCCCCAAAGGTTTGTTGATCATCCAATTGCTGTGCCATTGTACCTCTTGTTGACTCCAACCTAAGCCTTTACAGGACTCACAACAAAAAGTGTCATTGGTGTCTGGTCTGGATTTTCTCCCTTTGTGATTGAGTCAGCAAAGTTGGCCTTGGAAAGGCAAAGTATCAGCTGCAATCCCAGAGTCCCATCTGTGTCCCCCCAAAAAGCTGTAGATTTATGCCTGGTGTGCTGTAGCAATTTAACCTGTAAGAATGGAGGATGATAACTGAAGCCTTAATTCATGCACAGAAAGGGGTGCTTGGCAATCATTTGCAAAGTGAGTGCACCATCTACTTTTCTCTAAGCCTTTTTAAAGCTTTCCCACTAACAGCTTATTACTATCTGATGGGTTCTTTGCCACCTGCCTTGGCATTAGTCAATTGGTTACAGTTTGCTTATGACCTCCAAGATGGCATGCAATAACTTTGCACTCACTACGAAAACATTAATTGTAAACGATCTTCACCTCATATCTAAATTTTCTTAGCATAGCAGTCATCAAATCCCCTATGAAGCATGGAGACTTTTTCCTTGTTTTCTCTCAAAGCTGAAATGTGTTCATCAATTTCTTGGCTCCCTCATACCCTGGTTTAATAAGCGTTACCTGTTGATAGTCTCGCTTTGGCACTTAAAGGGAAATAAACTTTGTATATAGCAATAAACATAGATTCCCATTATTGTGAGCATAAATACAATCATCAATTGTCACAACCATCCCAAATTTGAAAGCCAGGGAAAATCCCAATCATTATCTTTCTTTATATTGTGTGCCAAAATCTTGTAACCCTTTTATCTTTCTTTCAGTCCATCCGGTTAAAACAACACCATCTCCTAAATTCTTTGAATCCATGATTGTGTCTTAATGATCAATAATCAGTACCTTTGTCTTCCAGAGCAGTCTTTATTATAATAATAATATTATAATTATAATAAAACTTTATTTGTATTCCACCCTATCTCCTTGTTGGGACTCAGAGCGGATTCCAACATAGCAATGGCAAATATTCAATGCCTACATAAAACACATGATACTAACACAAAACCCCAGAAAAACCCCACATATAAAAGTAACATTAAAACCTAACATCAAATTAAGACCTAACATCAGTAAATGAAACCTGACACCAATAAATTAAACTACATGTAATCAGACAAAATTCTGTAATAACATAAATCTAAACAAAACATCCTCATTAGTGTACAACAGCCAGCAAGGGTTCACAAAATGATGTGGGTTGGTTATGTAGTCAAATGAGGCCATTGGGCTGGTGGAACAGGAAAGCCCAAATATGAATAGTTTTCAACCAGAGGCTGGCAGTGATCTCTCAACTATCTAATTCTCCTCGTCTCCAATATGATAGTGAGCAAAAGTAGGTCTTCAGTTGCTTTTTAAAGGAGAGGAGGGAGGAGGCCAGCTTTCTTTCTTTAGGGAGGGAGTTTCAGGGGTGCAGGACAACCATGGAGAAGGCTCTCTCTCTTGTTCCCACCAGCTGTGCTTGGGATGGGGATGGGACTGAGAGCAGGGCCTCCTCCGATGCAGTGCTCAGGCTGGTTTGTAAGAGGAGATACAATTGGTCAAATAGCCTGGACCTGAGCCATTTAGGGCTTTAAAGGTAATGACCAGCACTTTGTATTTAGCCGGCAGATTGCAGCCAGTGGAGCTGTCACAACATGGGAGTGGATCTCTCCCTTGTTGCGCATAGTGTGTTTCAGTCAGATCCAATGCAAAATACACAATAACATTGCACCCAGGCAAGAGGAAAAAGAACAGAAAAACTTTACTCTTATCAGCAGAGTTAAAACATATACTTGCAATGTTACAAACAGTGCAACAAACTTACACAGTCTTTGTAAGCAATACAGAATAAGGCTTCTTCATCCAAATGCTAGACCATTTCCTTCTTATCTTGTTAACTATCCCTAGCTACACCTCTCTTTCTGTAATGTTTACATATTCATTGCATATGCAGAGAGCTGTCAGTGGCTGGCTACACTCAGCAAACAACAATAATAAAAGATAGAGGCTCTTGACTCAGGTTACAAGTTGTGCCAACAACTACACATTTTCTTGATAAGTCAGATTGCTTGCACACCCATTTGCTGGTATATTGGAGCTGGTGAACACCTTACTTACAACGAAAAGTTGTTTACCATGCAACTCTCTCAATTTAGTTGGTTAATGTACAAAGATAGTTCAGTTAACTCAGCAATCGGGAGAGGAGAGGATTGGGAAGTGTCTTCCCTTTCTCACTAGGTGCAGGCAAATGCAAGCGTTTGCAGCCTCTCCTGGATTGTGTGCACTTCCACATCAATGGTCTTGGCCATCTTGAGCACACTCGGATGTTGCTTGGCCAAAACTAATGTAAGGAGGGTTCCCATCTTTAGAACAAAGGAATGTCAGAACTATAAGACCAGTCTATGAATATCCCTGTGGGAAGTATTCTCTCTTTATGTGCATTCTAAGCCAGCATTTAACCATATTCATGAAAACAGCCAAACAGAGAACATCAGTAGCAGAAAGCCACAAGGGTGAAAAGTAGCAATTGAGGAGAGGTGCTTGTGCTTTTGGATTTACAGAAGACAGAGATGCCAGAAGAATTAATAAACAGCGAAGCAGCTTGGAAAAGAGTGGACAGATGCAAGTGAACACGCAGTTTCCCATTTCTGAATTTCTAACCAGCTGTTCTCTACTTATTCAAAATGGATCTCTAAACTCTGACTCATAACTCTAAACTCTAAGCCCTTGTAAAGGATAATTCCTTTCCTCTAAATCAAGAGTGGAGAACTTCATACAGTTTTAAAGTTGTATGGCTGGATACAGGCCCATAGCCAGGAGTTTGGTTCAGGGGGGGCCTGAGTTTGGTTCGGGGGGGGGGGGGGGGCTGAGTCTGAGTGAAAGAGGGTCTACCCTAGCAAACCTTTTGTATCGTTACCCCAATACCCCCATGCATATGGGATATATTGAGCATGGTGATCAGATCATGATGTGAATAAACATAACAGTTTAAATAATGTACCAGTAAGGCCTTCTCGCGGACCACCATGAGAATTTCGGGGGGGGGGGCTGAAGCCCCCCAAGCCCTCCCCGGCTACATGTATGGCTGGATGGGCCCCTGAGTTGATGTTGGTTTTCCTATTGTCTCAGGATGTAGCAATACTACTACTACTACTACTACTACTACTAATAATAATAATAATAATAATAATAATAACAATAATAAACTTTAGTTAATACCCTGCCACCATCTCCCCAATGGGGACTCGGAGAGGCTTACATGAGGCCAAGCCCAATAGCATATCACAATAAAGTAAAACCAAAACACAACAACAACACAGTAAAATACATACAGCATATGAGTACAAAGACGATAAAGCAAAATCATACACAGTAAAATAAAATAACATAGCATAACAATGAGTAGGCCGCATGTGCAAGGTAAAAACTATGATACTAAAATTACTAAAATCAGGATGCGATAGAGATGGAGCAGATTGTTTGTGGGGGAGAAACTCATAAAGGGAATGGGGCCATAAATATAGACCTTCATACAGGTGGGGAAATATATTCTGGGGACAAAAACCGTTGAGGGGGAGCAACTGTGTATGATAATATGGCTACTCTCCAAAAGCACATTGGAAAAGCCAGGTTTTGAGATCCCTCTTGAAAATTTCTAAGGTGGGGACCTTCCTAATCTCATTGGGCAATGAGTTCCAGAGTCGGGGTTGGGGGAGCACAGTACTATAGAACTAATGAAGGTTGATACTACTTTAACTGCTATGGTTCAATCCTAAGAAGTCTCGGGAAGCATAAATTTATACGGTCTTTAGCTTTCTCTGCCAAAACTGCTGGTATGTCATATCAACTCCCATGATTCCAAAGCTTTCAGCCATAATGGTTAAAGTGGTGTCAAACTGCATTCACTCCACAGTGTAGATGGACCCTTAGTCCAGCTTTCCTTCATGGCCATATCTCTTTATCCAGGACATTATCCTTTCATAGTTTCCAAGAAATAGCTGTGTTGGTCTCTTGTAGCATAAAAGGAGGAAGGGATCGGATGGAGGAAAAGGAAGAAACATGGCAGCCCCTTTAAGATGAACTGGTTTTGAATTCAACATGGGCTTTTGTGGATGTAAGCCCACTTGTTTGGATATAGTAAGCAAGTGGTATTAAGCTCTCTGGCATAAAGCATATTTATACAGTTTTATAAGTGGGATAGAATGCAATAGGATACAGAAAGATGACAATCATGTCAGCTGCCCTAAACTTTTAGCACTAATTAATCAAACTAAAAATCTGGAAGACCTGTATCTGAAAATTAGCTATGCTGGCTTGGGATGTTGGAAGTTACAGTCCATTAGTCTCCGGAGAGTCACCCATTGCCTGTAGCCTCCGTTAGTGCAATGGGTTAAACCCTGGAGCTGGCAGAATTGAAGATCGATACGTTGGAGGTTCAAATCTGGGAGGAGGGGGCACGGATGAGCTCCCTCTATCAGTTACAGCTCCCCATGCAGGAATATGAGAGAAGCCTCCTACAAGGATGATAAAACATCAAAACATATGGGCATCCCCAGGGCAACATCCTTGCAAACGGCCAATTATTTTACACCAGAAGTGACTTGCACTCCTAAAAAAAACCCCATTGCCTAATTCATAATAGCTATTGCTTTCTTTCCCATTGACCTTCCCCCTCCTCCCCCTCTTTCTTCATCTTTTTGGGGTTTCAAGAACTCAGAAATTTACCCAATCTCTCCTCTTTTAACAAAACTGAGTACTGTTTCATATCCTCCACATGTTTGGCCAGGACAGTTCAGATTAATCCTCTGTCATCCCATTTTTTTTCAGTTGCCTTCAAAATGTCCCCATTTTTCTCTCCTTTTTATCCTCATCTTACTTCAGTTGTGGGGAACTGACTTTAAACTGAAAAGTAACTGTATTAATGAACTCAGCAGTGGAGAGGAGATGGGATATGAGAGATCTTCCCCCTTCCAGCATTCTCAGAAAAAAGCAAACTGCTGCAGTTGGTCCTTTCTTATATGTCATTAATTCCTTTCCCCATTTTGATTACACTCTGATGGCACTTGGCCACATATGTCCCAGTTTCCATCTTCAAAACAGTGGAGTTTGTGTGGTGGTTAAAGAGTGGCAAGACCTTCAAAGTTACTAGGAGACTCTCCAAACATTTCTGCATCTCCGCTAGCTCCAGGATGTCCATTATCCTCAACAGTAATTGATGTTTCAGAAACAAAGCATTGCATAAGGTTTGTAATTGGTGGGAGGAATTCATCCTTGCCTTCTGCCTGTCCTTTCCCTGATCACATTAGTGCAACAAATTATTTTAAAATGGGTTAAAATGCTGCATAATCAAGGTACCTCTGAGGTAAATGGTTTGTCCTGTTTGAGATGCAATCCCGTTGAAATCCAGTTCATTACCGCAGACATTCCTTAATGTTTTATCCACTTTATCTCAGTGCAGCAGTCCATTCATCCAAAGCATTTATGACCTTTACACTGCCGTATTATCAACCCTGATTGCTATTGACAGTGTAATTCCTTTGTGATGGCTGGATATTAAATGGGCAAGAAGCAATGGCCTTGAGTAATTGGTGACCTTTAATAGCCATATGTGGGGATGACTTGTATTGTCATCTCACCCTCCTGCCTGGCCAGGTGGGGGCATTCCTTTGCTGTCCTTTGGCAAGACCTCTGTCTGAATGAATTTTCTGGTGTCTATGGCAAGGAGACTTTCTGTGGAGCCTCCTGACATGGCTTGGCATAGTTATTACAATTATTGCTATTTTAGGACTACAGCATCCAATCTTCTGCCCTGGAGATCTGAAGGCTGTAGTCTAAAATGGCAACTTTCTAAAGATCTCAGACCAAAGCTGATGGCGAGGTTGCATTTGCACAGCTAAGGCTTGTTTCTTTAGTGTGTTTTGGAGAGATGGAAATAGAAAGATGTTGACCTGAAATAATGAATGGATGAACAAATGTTGGGTGATAAATAATTACAGCTGACTGGACTTCCACCATTAATAATAATAATAATAATAATAATAATAATAATAATAATAATAAATTTTATTTGTACCCCACCACCATCTCCCCAATGGGTACTCGGAGCGGCTTACATGGGGCCAAGCCCGAACAAGAATTACAATATAACAATACAAATTGCAATAAAATAAACAACATAACATTAAAATAAAACATCAAAGCATATAAAACAATATTATGATTATGGTTGTTGTTGATGATGTTGTTGGTAACCTGCTTTTATATCAGAAACTCAGACCCAAAGTGCCCATTGTTTACAAATTCCATCAGAGTAATTATATATTTGATAGTCTCATACTTGCCCATAGCAACTCTTTGTGTTATGTTAGGCTCTCTTATAATTTTGTCTGATGTGTTTAAAACAAAACATTGTATTTCAGATTGGTATGCAATAGGCTTGGGCGGTTTCGTTCGTTAATTTCGTAATTCGTTATTAATTCGTATTTAAATTAGCTTACGATCCAATATTGAGCCATGCAGGACTACTGTGAGGAGTAATTAAAAATCGAAACAATTTTTCCAATTTATTTCGTAATTGTTTCGTAATTGGTTCAAAATTGTTTTGAAATTGTTTCGTAATTGTTTCGTAATTATTTCCGTATGTCTGGTGCAAGTTTTATAGTTGTTGTTTGTTTTATCAGTGATAAAAAATAAATTATCACCCCAACAGTCAACAACAGAGGGAGAGGGAAGCTTCAGAAGTTCCCCCTGTCCCATTTGGAGGGTTTTTTTAGCATATTGCGCAATCGCGTCCGCCATTAACGAATCGATTCGTAATTTTACGAAATTTCGTATATTTTGAACTTTTTTAAAGGAAAATTTCGGAATTCTTTAAAAAAAATGAAACGCAAGGGCCCCCCTAAAAACGAAACGAGTTTAGAACCAAATTTTTCCGTGGTTACCCAAGCCTAGTATGCAACCATTCTGTGTGCAATAATAATACACTTTATTTATATTCTGCTTTATCTCCCCGGAGGGACTCAGAGTGGATTGCAATACACATATGGGGCCTTTTCACACAGTCAGTGAACAACGATATACAATACAGACAAAGATAAAGGGCCTCCCCTTTTTCCATCCCCGGCGTCTGGAGGCGATGCTCAACTCTGGCCATCGGGAGGTGCTCTTGTTCCATTTTTCATGCCGAGGAGCTTGTTATCCATGGATAGATAAATAAATGTTTTAAATAAATAAATAAATATTGGATATGTCTGATTATGTTGCTGGCATGTCTACATATCTGCATGGAGCACCCTTTTACCTTTCCCTGAGGCTGTACCTGTTGATCTACTCACATTGCATTCTTTCGAACTGCTAAGTTTGCAGGAGCTAGGGCTGACAGTTGAGAGCTCACCCCAACTTGCGGCTTTGAACTGCCAACCTTCCACTCAGCAGCTTTCCTGCAGCTGGCGGTTTAAACCACTGTGCTACCACTGCCCCCTATCCTAATAATAATAATAACAACAACAACAACAATAATAATAATAATATCCCACTTTTTCTCTCCACAAAGGAGACTTAAAGCAGTTACAAAGGAGACTCAGCCCCTAACTACACTGCCATATGAAATTGAGATTATCTGATTTGAATTGGATTATTTGAGTCTACACTCCTATATAATCCAGTTCAAAGCAGATAATCAGAATTTTACATGGCAGTGCAAATGAGGCCTCAAAGCTACAATAACAATAGCAATGTTGTTGTTGTTGTTCATTCGTTCAGTCGTCTCCGACTCTTCGTGACCTCATGGACCAGCCCACGCCAGAGCTCCCTGTCGGCCGTTACCACCCCCAGCTCCCTCAAGGTCAGTCCAGTCACTTCAAGGATGCCATCCATCCATCTTGCCCTTGGTCGGCCCCTCTTCCTTTTGCCTTCCACTTTCCCCAGCATAATTGTCTTCTCTAGGCTCAAAAGCATCGATCTTCCTTCGCTCAGCCTTCCTTAAGGTCCAGCTCTCACATCCGTAGGTTACTACAGGGAATACCATGGCTTTGACTAGGCGGATCTTTGTTGCCAGTCTGATGTCTCTACTCTTTACTATTTTATCGAGATTGGACATTGCTCTCCTCCCAAGAAGTAAGCGTCTTCTGATTTCCTGGCCACAGTCTGCATCTGCAGTAATCTTTGCGCCCAGAAATACAAAGTCTGTCACGGCCTCCACGGTTTCTCCCTCTATTTTCCAGTTGTCAATCATTCTTGTTGCCATAATCTTGGTTTTTTTGATTTAGCTGCAACCCAGCTTTTGCACTTTCTTCTTTCACCTTGATTAGAAGGCTCCTCAGCTCCTCCTCGCTTTCGGCCATCAGAGTGGTGTCATCTGCATATCTGAGGTTGTTAATGTTTCTTCCAGCAATTTTCACCCCAGCTTTGCATTCATCCAGCCCCGCACATCGCATGATGAACAATAGCAATACTACTACTATTACAGTAATTCATTCCTTTTTGTGAGATCCTCACCGGCATTCTGAATTAATAAAAACCAAACAGAATTTGAAGCTTGGTGAGGATTGTTCTGAGAAATGTTCATGGTTAAGCAAAGATTTGAGTATAGCTCTTTCAGGTCCAGACTCCTAACCATTTCACCAAACTACTTTATTATAGCTGATCAAATGTTTGCCTGAGGGTCAAACTAGATGTTAAGGGAAATGAATAATCACAATGAATAATCACATTTTCCTGCCCGTTATGCTATTTTTGGAGAAATGTGTGTTTTAGCAATCAGGCTTGCAAAATCAGTTTTGAGTTATTTTCCAGGTTGATCACAACATAAAGCTCATTAAAAGCAAGATGCGTGGCTGAAGAAAATGACGTTCTACAATAGTGGTTCTCAACCAGTGGTTCTCAACCTGTGGGTCCCCAGGTGTTTTGTCCTACAACTCCCAGAAATCCCAGCCAGTTTTCCAGCTGTTAATTAGGATTTCTGGGAGTTGAAGGCCAAAATTTCTGGGGATCCACAGGTTGAGAACCACTGTTCTAGGACAAATGGATTTCTTTCACAATTTCAGGGAATAGCTCTTCCTGCTAGCAAGGGAGTTGCATTTTTGTCACTGATTGTGAAAGTAGTCATCTTCTAGCATTGGATCAGTTCTAGGATGGCTGTGGTTTTAAGAATAAGATATGATGGAATAGAGAGTTAGATTGTCACTCTAGGAGCTCGAACATGCTGGAACTTGTCCAGATGAGGCTAACAGAAATGGTCAAAAATCTAGAAATTATGCCTTATGAGGAATGTGTGCTGGTACGGCTGTACCAGGAGCTTCAGCTTCATTTTCTTTCTATTGAGTGTTTGCATATATTCCAAGGTTCCATGCATTTGCAACAAGGTGGCTTCCCTTGGTTTGCAATCATAGGGCTAGCCACCTGTCTATCATTGTTAAGTTTTGGTTCCGCCCCTTTCCCCAGGGCCATGGGAAGAGAGGGAGCCATTTTTAGTTCAGTCTTATAGTGGAAAGCTAAGCTACAGGACATGGATTAGCTCCATCCATAGAAAAGCTTCATTTCCTACAGCATCCGGGGCAGAAATTCCAGGGAAAAGCAGTCCCAAAGCTCTGGCTGGGAGCTTACAGCCTCTCAGCTTTACAGCATCTGAGGAAAACAGTCCTAAAGTTTTGGAAGAAAACAGTTTTACAGACCCAAAGAACTCCAGCTGGAGAATCTACATAGCCTTGACTGGTAGGTCTACTCAGGACCCAAAACGCAGATTGGAACCGGTAGTAGAACCCACATCAGCAAAGCTTAGACAGTAGATTGCCTGGGAGGGGTTAAAAGGGGTTTTCCTTGTTAAAGAAAGAAATAGTTCTCCAAGCAAGGTGCCTATCCATTTTGGGGCAAGTTAAGAAGCATTTATCTGTTTAATCTGTTGAAGATCCAAGAAGTGTTTGTTGTTTTATTGAAGACCTAAACAATAATAAAAAACTTTGTTAAACATTTCAAGCCCTTTAAAGACTGTGTATGGGAAAATCTTTGAAGGCCTCTCACCCGTGGCACCCCGGCTCCCCGCTGGGCACAAAGAGCATGTCCTGTTTAAAAAATCAATTATTACAGGCCCAGCACATGGCAGCACAGAATGGCTTAGAGAGCTGGGTATGTTTATCCTGGAGAAGAAAAGGTTAAGGGGGACATTATGGCCATGTTTAAATATGTGAAAGGATGTCATGTGAAAGATGGAGCAAAAATCTAGAAGGCGGAGCAATGGATTCAAATGCCAGAAAAAGAGATCCCACCTAAATGTTAGGAAGAACTTCTGGATGGTAAGAGCTGTTTAATTGTTTACTTTCTGATCCATTTTCTTCTGTGTTGCTCCTCTATCACAATTATTTTATTTATTTATTTACCTTATTTATACCCCGCTTTTCTCTACCCCAGGGGGGACTCAGAGAGGGGGCTTACAAATGGCACCTTCACAGCGTTGTCTTTTCTCATTCAGTTATTATTTTCTCTCTTTCTATCTCTTTTGGGTAGAATATCCTTGGTCGCTGTGGATATGGACGAGTGATATCAAAGGTGCCGGGACTGATGCTCCCATCTTCCTCCAGATTTATGGTGACAAAGGGAAATCTGATGAAATGAAACTGGACAATAAGTCTGATAACTTTGAAGCTGGCCAGACTGACAAATTTATGGTATGTCATTTCATTTTGACTATATGCACAAATCAAAGTGGAGCGATTGCTTTATTAGAAGCACTGAAATCTTATGCAAGAGATTAATGGCATGAACATGGATAGGAGGTGAATGTCTCAAAGAGATGATCTTTATAGTGAAGGCATAGGAAGTCTTCAGCTCTGCAATTGTTTTGGACCCCCCTGAACAATATGAGAGAAGCCTCTTACAAGGATGGTAAAACATCAAAACATGGAAATAATGCATCTTTCCCAGGTTTCAGTATTAGTGTTATCCTGTATTATTAGTATTAGTGTTTAGTTATTAGACTCTCTGGGTGTTTTGGACTTCAACTTTCACAATTCTTAACAGTCTACTGGCTGTTAGGAATTGTGAAAGTTGAAGTCGGAAACACCTGAAGGGATGAAGTTTGCCCATACCTGCTATAGTGCATATGTGCTCTTCATTGTAATCTCAATTGGGGAAAAGTTCATTTTTTCCTGTCTCCTTCCCAACTAGAAATCCTTTCCCCACCTTTCCACTCATTTTTGGTTGATGCTATAGTAGCAAAGTGTGTGAGAGAAAGCTCCTCCTTCCTTCTTTCCCCTCTCCATTTCATAAGTAACCCAGGTATCTGTATGTATGGGAAATGAAATTTCCAGAGTTACTGAATATCTGAAGGGCTGGCTGGAGAACTGGGTTGGTAATACTGGCTTTGGGACTTGGCCTGGAACTTTAAAGTACTTTCCTTCAATTGGTCCTTGAGGTGAGACAGTGGACAAATAGCCCTAGTAGTTAAGCAACACTGGTGATCCAGCATCACGTTCTGCCCTGCACATAGTTATCCAATTTATTCTTTCCCTGCATCATGCGATGTGATTTTGAATAGAGGTTTAATGGCCCTTGTGATACAGTATTGACTGGAGCCTGTGGGAAATAAACCTATCATTAAATTGCTGCCGGGATATAGGCATACTCCCTTTCTGCCATCTCAGTTTTGTTGCTCAAATAAACAAACATAGCAGCTACCTTTGCCTTGATGCTTTGAAGCCAGGTGCTGAAGTGAGTGGATGGCTTTGTCTACACTGGTTAGAAATGGCAAATTAGGCCAAGCATCATTCATGGACATGCACATGACTCTGGCCCATAACATTGAGCAAAATTCATTTGCCTGGTTTCCCATTGCTGGAGGCTTTGCTGATGTCATATGACCCTTTCCTTCTTCTCAGTTATCTCCAAACCAAGCAAGACCTCTCTAAGTTCTTGGACTCCCAATTCAAGTCAATTGTGCAATTCCAGTTCATTTCACTGGGGTCATTGCAGGAGAATTTCGCAGCAATTCATGTCCCACTATAGCAGTGGTTCTCAACCTTCCTAATGCTGCGACCCCTTAATACAGTTCCTCATGTTGCGGTGACCCCTGACCATAAAATTATTTTTGTTGCTACTTCATAACTGCAATTTTGCTACTGTTGTGAATTGTAATGTAAATATCTGATATGCAGTATGTGTTTTCATTCACTGGACCAAATTTGGCACAAATACCGAATACACCCAAATTTGATACTGGTGAGGTTGGGGTGGGGGGTTGATTTTGTCATTTGGGAGTTGTAGTTGCTGGGATTTATACTTCCCCTACAATCAAAGAGCATTCTGAATTCCACCAGTGATGGAATTGAGCCAAACTTGGCACACAGAACTCCCATGACCAACAGAAAATACTGGAAGGGTTTGGTGGACATTGACCTTGAGTTTGGGAGTTGTAGTTCACCTATATCTAGAGAGCACTGTGGACTCAAACAATAATGGATTGGCACGGATACTTAATATGCCCAAATGTGAACAGTGGTGGAGTTTGGGGAAAATAGACCTTGACAGTTGGGAGTTTTAGTTGATTTATAGTTCACCTACAATCAAAGAGCATTCTGAACCCCACCATTGATAGAATTGGGCCAAACTTCCCACACAAAACCCCCATGACCAACAGAAAATACTGTAGGGATTTGGGATGAATTGACAGTGATTTAGGGGAGATGTAGTTCACCTACATCCAGAGAGCACTGTGAACTCAAAAGGATTCACAAAACCATTAGAAATATGTGTTTTCTGATAGTCTTTGGTGAGCCCTCTGAACCCCCCCCCCCAGGAGTCCCAACCCCCAGGTTTAGAAACACTGCACTATAGGAATGTACTGTTTAGCTGAGGTCATTCCAATATGTCTTTGTGCATACAGATTGAGCTTCCAGATCTGGGGATTTTGTACAAGATCCGGATATGGCATGAGAAGCGGAGTCCATTTGCTGGCTGGCATCTGGACAAGGTAAGAAGCCAGTAGAAAAGAGGGCCACTCCAGGCAATAAAGGAGCTGGAGTGGGTTAATGGTTTGAATGTTGGACTAGGATGCTGGAAGAACAAAGTTTGAATCCCCTTTCGGCCTTAGAAACTCACTGGATGATGTATTGTCGAAGGCTTTCATGGCTGGAATCACTCAGTTCTTGTGGGTTTTTTCGGGCTATATGGCCATGTTCTAGAGGCATTTCTCCTGACGTTTCGCCTGCATCTATGGCAAGCATCCTCAGAGGTGAGGTCACCTCTGAGGATGCTTGCCTCACCTCTGAGGATGCTTGCCATAGATGCAGGTGAAACATTAGGAGAAATGCCTCTAGAACATGGCCCTATAGCCCAAAAAAACCCACAAGAGCCTAGTCACCGGATGATCATGAGCCAGTCACACTCTCTCAGCATTAGGGGAAGGCAAATCTGCTCTGAAAAGATATTGTTGACGAAATCATGTGATAGGTTCACTTTTGGTTTGCCATAGCTTGTAAATGGCTTCAAGTCACAAAACAACAGTAACAAGTATGTAATAAGCAATTGTATTGGCTATACATGAAGTTCATATTTGTGCCTAGTGTTAATCCAAGTTTGCATTCCTCTTTAATGCCTTTTCTATCCTTCCTGGATTCCAGTTTGGAAGGTATGATTGGGGATGAGTACTTTGAGCCATATAAGAGTGGAACCCAAGTGACAGAGTAGGCATGACCAAAGCAAAATCGTCAGGTCCAGATTTGTTATTGTTTCCAGTTTGGACACTTTCCCTCTGAGTATGCAAATTATAGCTCAGTTCTATGCATGGCTTCTCAGGAGCAATCCTCAGTGTTTATAAAGAGCACCGTGCAGGCTTTTAAAAGCCGCACGTTGAATGCTTTAAGAGCCATTAATGCAGCCATGGGCAAACTTCAGCCCTCCAGGTATTTTGGACTTCAACTCCCACAATTCCTAACAATTGAGACTCGTGCGCCAACTGCGACCGTACCTCATGAAGGCGGATCTGGCCAGGGTGGTCCATGCCTTAGTCACCTCCAGATTGGACTACTGTAATGCACGCTACGTGGGGCTGCCCTTGAAGACGGCCTAGAAATTTCAGTTGGTTCAACGGGTGGCGGCCAGGCTGTTAACTGGCGCTCCTTACAGAGAGAGGTCAACCCTCCTGTTCAAGAAGCTCCATTGGCTGCCGTTCATTTTCCGGGCTCAATCCAAGGTGCAGGTGCTTCCCTACAAAGCCCTAAATGGTTTGGGACCCACCTACCTGCGTGACCGCATTTCCATATATGAACCCACACGATCCCTTCGTTCATCTGGTGAGGCCCTGCTCACGATCCCACCAGCATCGCTAGTGTGATTGGTGGGGACGAGGGACAGGGCCTTCTCGGTGGTGGCCCCACGACTGTGGAACACGCTCCCCAAGGACATCAGTCACTCCCCAACACTGGCAGTCTTCAGAAGGAGCTTGAAATCATGGATGTTCCAGTGTGCCTTCCCAGATTAAGGAATCCCAAGCAATTGTCCCTAATGCACTTTATGAGAGAGTTAGAATTGTCTGCACACCCTTCTATTCCCAAAATATCCATTCTACCTCACCTGGACATGCCCAGCATTTTTTAGAATTTTAACTATTACATTTGGCCCTGCCACAGATTTTTAACAGTGTTGTGCTTTGTTATTGTTTTATTGGTTGCTTATTTATTGTTGCATCATATTGTTGTTTGTTGTGTTTTTGTTAATGATGTACTTTGGCCTCTTGTAAGCCGCACCGAGTCCTGCGGGAGATGGTAGCGGGGTACAAATAAAGGATTATTATTATTATTATTATTATTATAACAGCCTACTGGCTGTGTCCAAAAACACCTGGAGGGTTGAAGTGTGCTCATGCCTGCTGTAATGTGTGTGTATCTGCTTTCAAGTAACTTTTCAATTATGGTGACCCTATGAATTTCACTGGGTTTTCTTAGGCAATGAATACTCAGAGGTGGTTTTGCCATTTCCTTCTCAAATACAGCCTGCAGCACCTAGTATTCCTTGGTGGTCTCTCATCCAATGCAAACTGACTCTGCTTAGCTACCAAGGTCACGCAGGATCTGCAGGCTATTGCTTCCCCTAGATTGTGTTGTTGTATGCCTTCAAATAATTTAAAGTAGTTCAGACTGCTGGCTTTTGAATATCCTCGCTGTAAATCTTCGAGAATAGCAAAGGGAGAAGCCTGTGAGCCAGAAGGGAAATCTATCTGTCCACCAAATTACATCTGTCCAGCAAATTGGCAGTTCTCCATTCCTGCTTTATACCTTCTGGGAGCCCTTTGAGTCCTTATTGGGAGAAAACAAAGCTATAAATAAAATCATATACATTCAAATCAATCAAACAATTTTGGAGAGGTTCTGATAATTTGCCAGTAAAGCAGACTGTTCTTTGTTTTTGGACATATTCTGGGATACACAAAGGCAGTGGGAAGAATATTAGACCTCACCATCCTGAGAATTCACACTAAAAGTTAAAACATGTTAAAACATTTATTGTTTTAACAGTTCTAACTTGCTTTAATTTGTTAATGTAATATCATTAGACTGTCATTATTGTTACATTTATATTGATTTTATTATAGGCTACCTTGAAATCCTGGGATATAGGCTATACATCTTTCAATGATTGGATTGATCAATTGATACATCTCTAAATAAAACAGAAAGAAAGCTGTTTTCTAAGAGAATCTTATTCACTCTGACTAATTTTTTTTTCACAAGGAATGTCTAATCAATTTTTCAGAAATCCTGGGATTTCTTATTGGAAAATCCACTGGTTTTTCAACTTCAACTTGTGTATCCCAGTTGAAAAACCAGTGGATTTTCCAATAAGAAATCCCAGGATTTCTGAAAAATTGATTAGACATTCCTTGTGAAAAAATTAGCCAAGAAATAATGCAATTGCATAAAATATTAAAATTATTTATTATTTTATTTATTTATTTACAGTATTTATATTCTGCCCTTCTCACCCTGAAGGGGACTCAGGGTGGATCACAATGCACACATACATGGCAAACATTCAATGCTGTTTTCGACATATAAGACAGACAAACAGATAGAGGTATTTCAGCATTTTCCAACTTTGGCGCCTGGAGATCATGCTCAATTCCAGCCACAGGGAGGTGCTGTTGCTCCATCTGCTGTGATGATGAGCCCTTTTTGATCGTAGAATTTCCCTTCTTGTTCTTTGATCATCTTGTAAAAATAAAAATAAATATTTTTCCAACTTATATATATTACATTTTGATACTGTTTTCTCTAGGGACATAGGGCTAGCAAGGTACTTATACAAATAGGTCATGTTCTGATATCAATGAACATGGCTTCATTTTCTTAGGTCTATCTTCACAAGCATTAGGACTAGAAGTTTGCATTTATTTGAGATAAACTTGATATTGAGGACAGTTGTTTTCTTAATATAACAAGTTGTTGGAGTATTTATTTATTTTTATTTATTTACCATAATTCTATCCTGCCCTTCTCATCCCAAGGAGGATTCGATGCCACATTGAAACATAAACATATTTTTATCAGTTTAATACTAATTTATGCAATGCTTTCGATACTAAATAAAAAATAAACATAAACATACAAATTATAAATGAATTAAACATTCAGTCATTAAACATAAAACTATACCATATAAATACAGTTAAAATAGGATTTAAAACAATAATTAAAATAACTAGGTGAAGTCACAGATATTGTAGATAAACGCTGCTTCACCTAGCTATGGAACAAACTATAGAAATATGGACAGACATAGTGCCTTGGACATACCGTATATAAGTATACTTGTGTATAAGTTGACCTCATATATAAGTCGTGGGCAGGTTTGTGGAGTCAAAATTATGGATTTTGATGTGACCCATAAGTCAACCTCGGTTCTCTAGATGCTGCCTTTTTCCTGTCTAGCAAATTAAAAAGACTTCTTGGAAGAGAGAGTAGAGAGATGTTTTGTTGAAGGTTTTCATGGCTGGAATCACTGATTTGCTGTGAGTTTTCTGGGCTGTATGGCCATGTTCCAGAATTATTCTCTCTGACATTTCACCCACATCTATGGCAGGCATCCTAAGAAGTTATGAAGTCTCACAACCTCTGAGGATGCCTGCCATAGATGTGGGCAAAATGTCAGGAGAGAATGCTTCTTGAACATGGCCATACAGCCCAATGGTACATCACCCCTGACAAATTAGCAAAATGCTACAAACATTTAGATGCAGAATGCTGGAAATGTGAAACGGAAAAAGGCACCTTTTTCCATATGTGGTGGAACTGTACAAAAGCAAAAAAATACTGGAAAGAAATGTATGGTGCCACACAGAAGATCTTACAGGAACAAATTAAATCTAATCCAGAATATTTTCTGTTGAATAGCATAGATGTAAAACTAGCAAAAACTAAAGACATCCTCTTTATCTGACAACAGCATCCAGAATCGTATATGCATGATATTGGAGAGTAGCAGAAATTCTAACAACTGAGGAATGGTTGACAAAAATGGTGGAAATCATAAGCATGAAACTAATGCAACAACTATCATACCGACAAAGCAACTCTAGGAAAGAAACAGATTGGATTTATTGATTAATTATATGCCATATGGTTCACATGGCAGTATCAATCCATTCTTTGGGGCAGTGCAATGAGGCAATAATACGTAGAATGGTGTCCTGAGATGATTTTTAACAGAAACTATTCTGGATTGAATCTAATTTGTTCTTGTAAGATCTTCTGTGTGGCATCATACATTTCTTTCCAGTATTTTTTTTGCTTTTGTACAGTTCCACCACATATGGAAAAAGGTGCCTTATATCCATTTTAAAGTGGATATAAGTGATTTTAATGTTTGTATATATTTATGGTTTTATGTCCCGGCATTGAATGTTTGCCGTATGTATGTTGTGCTCCGCCCTGAGTCCCCTGCAGGATGAGAAGGGCGGAATATAAATGTTTTAAATAAATAAATAAATAAAATGAGGATTTTAATATAAATAAGCAAAAGGAATAAGGGAGAAATATCTATTCTTTGGAACTAATTAAATAGTAATAACAAGAAACACTGAAAAATTCCAGATTCAAATTCACAATGAAGACGAAAGGAAGTCTACCAAACTCCCCAATCCCCATATTTCCCCTCCCTTCTATCCCCACTCTTCCCTACCCAAAACCCAACCAGTCCCCTTTTCTCTCCCATTTTATGTAAATTGAAAACTTTATTAGAAACTATATATTTTTAAAAAGTGTGTCACTAACATGAATGGATGGAAAGCTCTGATGTAAGGGTAGTGTTGCAACATATGGGCATCCATTTGATAGGAGTGGAGTCACTGGTGCCCCATGGTCCAATGCACAATAGATGCAAACTGGCTAGTGGAGCACAACAGGAGTACCAGATGTGCATCAATAGTGCCCAATGCACCCTAGAAATTACTCCATTCACATGGGAGCACTTTTGCCTTTGTGCACATCTTTGCAATGCACTAACAGGGTTTTGTTGCATTTCTTGAATATAGCTATGGATTCGTAAAGTTATGAAATATAGATCGCAGCGTAGGCTCTCAGCCAGGGTCCTTTTGTCACTCAGCCATGTACAGCAATGAGAAATTGCCATTTACCTTTGTAAAAATAAGGTCACATCACTCACAGATCCTGGCTTTTGAGCCTCTAATGCGATTTGATAGGTTTCTACCCTCTTCTGTGCCGCACGGATGTTTAGAGGATCTAGCTGAGGGTTAGTAAACCATGAAGCATTGCAGAGATGTATGCTGGGTCCACAGATTCATCCACGCGGTCAGTCTCCCCTCATTAGTCTTGGCTTGCTGTCGTTTCCACTCCAGGATAAAAAAGATGACATCCGCTTGCAAAGGAGTTGCAGCTCGTTCTGTTGTTGGAGGATCTCTCAAAGGACTGTCTGTAGGATGCTGCAGATTAATCAGTTATAAACCTTTTGTGGCATAGTCCTGTTTATTCAGGAATGAGTCCCTCAAAATGCCGTGGAGCTTGCTTTCTATTAAATCTGCTTTAGAATTATGGGAAGGGAAGTTCTTTGTGTCTACTATCCTCCCTCTTCATTTGCTGTTGTTGGAAAGAAGCACAGTAAGAAATTGCAAATAAAGGCATTCCTTCTTTTTTACTTGAAAGAAACCTCTGTAGGAATGTCTAGATCTTCCAGCATGACTCTCTGGTCAACTTCTATTGGAACCTGATCATCAGATCACATTGGAGGACCTAGAGCAGTGGTTCTCAACCTTCCTCATGCCACAACCCTTTAAGACAGTTCCTCCTGTTGTGGTGACCCCCGATCATAAAATTATTTTCGTTGCTACTTCATAACTGTAATCTTGCCACTGTTATGAATCGTAATGTAAAATCTGATATGCAGGATCAGGCCCGTAGCCAGGATTTTGTTTCGGGGGGAGCTGAGTTTGATTCGGGGGGGGGGGGGCTGAGTCTGAGTGAAAGAGGGTCTACCCTAGCAAACCTTTTGTATCGTTACCCCAATACCCCCATGCATATGGGATATATTGAGCATGGTGATCAGATCATGATATGAATAACAACAGTTTAAATAATGTACCAGTAAGCTCCATGTAGTCATGCCAGCCACATGACCTTGGAGGTGTCTATGGACAACGGCGGCTCTTCGGCTTAGAAATGAAGATGAACACCACACCCCAGAGTCAGACATGACTGGACTTAATGTCAGGGGACAACCTTTACCTTTACCTTACAGATTTTCTTAGACTCTTCTTGATGTGCTGCATATCCTTACAACAGGGGTCCCTAAACTAAGCTGATATGCAGGATGTATTTTCATTCACTGAACCAAATTTGGCACAAATACACCCGATACTTGAATACTGGTGGGGTTGGGGGGGGGGGCATTGATTCTGTCATGTTGGAGTTGTACTTGCTGGGATTTATAGTTAACCTACCATCAAAGAGCCCCTTGAACCCCACCATCAATAGAAATGGGCCAAACTTCCCACACAGAAACTCCATGACCAACAGAAAGTACTGGAGGGATTCGGGAGGAATTGACAGTGATTGAGGGGAGATGTAGTTCACCTACATCCTGAGAGCACTGCAAACCCAATCAACAATGGATCTGGAACAAATTTAGCACAGATAACTGGTATGCTGAAATTTGGATATTGATGGGTTGTGTGGGGGGGGGGGAGGGGGGGAGGAGGAATTGATTTTCTTATTTGGCAGTTGTAGTTGCTGGGATTTATAGTTCACCTACAATCAAGAGCATTCTGAACCTAGCCCACAATGGAACTGCACCAAACTTGGCACACTACCTACATGGCCAACATCAAATACTGATGGGGTTGAGGGGCCGGCCAATCACAGCAGTAAAAGGGCTTTTGGTGGGAGGATTCACCATCTGTTTCCAAAAAGGAAGAGAAGGAGAAAGGGTGACCCCTCTGAAACCACCTCGTGACACCCCCTCCCCAGGGTCTCGACCCCCAGGTTGACAAACACTGACCTAGAGATTCTTCAAGATGCATTCCTTCTAGAAATCTTTCAGTCTTCTAGTATGACCAGTAGAAGTTGACCATAACATTAACACTGGAGGACCTAGAGATTTCTAGAGAGAACATAAAGCAACAATAGGAAACTTTACCAAGTCAATAAGATTAGACACAGATAATCAAGATGGTTTTAAACAGTGTGTTTTAATGTTGAAGCAAATGTTTTTTTATGTTTACATATGCATATAATGAATTCATATCCCAGCATTGAATGTTTGCTGTTTGTATGTTGTGCTCCACCCTGAGTCCCCTTCGAGGTGAGAAGGGCGGAATATAAATGTTTTAAATAAATAAACATATTTAATCAAAACTGTAAACAGGCAAATCTGCAGAAGTCAAATTGCAAATGTGGAGGGACAACTACTTAGGTGAAGGGATCCTTGAGCTTTACTGCTGTCTATATTTTCTTATCATTCTTTGCTTTTGCCGTATCAACCATGGGTTAGTTCTCTGCAGTTCATAAACTTCTAAAATGTTTATTTCATACCCTCTCCACCTCAGTTGCCCTATTGCTGGTTGTAGAATCATATCTAACTCTGCTACCATTTCTATCTGATTAAAGGTAACTCTTTTGAAAACTCTGACAAAAGAGAAATACACCTTCCGCTGTGGCCGCTGGCTGGATAGCAGTGAAGATGACTTTGAGATTGGGAGGGAACTCACAGCTGAAGGACCACTAGTGACAGAAGTGATGCCAGGTGAGAAGAAAACTGCATGGGGCACAATGGAGTAGCAGTTAACCATTTTTGAAGCAGGGAAGGGCAACTGTGGGAGGATAAGGGGCCCTGGGAGACCCTGGAGGGCCATGCACCTATAATCACAGTGCCATGCAAGAAATCATTTTATGCCTCTGAGAGTGTGTATGGAGAATTTTTACAATGCTTTTAGGTCCCAAAGTAGACTAAAATGTCCTCTATGTCTCCTAGATGGCATACGGGGGCATTTATTGATTAAAACCCCCCACAAAGTTTACCATTTCAAAGCTCTAAGGCAGTGGTTCTCAACCTTTCTAACGCCATGACCCCCTAATACAGTTCCTCGTGTTGTGGTGACTTCCACCAAAAAATATTTTATTGCTCTTTCATAACTGTAATTTTGTGTCTGTTACGATTCATAATGTAAATATCTGATATGCAGGATGTATTTTCATTCACGGGCCCAAATTCAGCACAAATACCTGATACACCCAAATTTGAATACTGGTGGGGTTGGGAGTGGGGGTTTGATTTTGTCATTTGGGAGTAATAGTTGCTGAGATTTATAGTTCACTACAATCAAAGAGCATTCTGAATTCTACCAGTGATGGAATTGAACCAAACTTGGCACACAGAACTCCCATGACCAACAGAAAATACTGGAAGGGTTTGGTGGGCATTGACTTTGAGTTTTGGAGTTTTAGTTCACCTATATCCAGACAGAACTGTGGACTCAAACAATGATGGATCTGGTACAAATACCCAATAAGCACAAATGAGAATACTGGTGGAGTTTGAGGAAAATAGACCTTGACATTTGGAAGTTGTAGTGGCTGGGATTTATAGTTCACTATAATCAAAGAGCATTCTGAACTCCACCAGTGATGGAATTGAACCAAACTTGGCACACAGAACTCCCATGACCAACAGAAAATACTGGAAGGGTTTGGTGGGCATTGACTTTGAGTTTTGGAGTTTTAGTTCACCTATATCCAGACAGAACTGTGGACTCAAACAATGACTGATCTGGCACAAATACTCAATATGCCCAAATGTGAACACTGGTGGAGTTTGTAGGAAATAGACCTTGATATTTGGGAAGTTGTAGTTGCTGGGATTTATAGTTCACCTACAATCAAAGAGCATTCTGAACACCACCAATAAAGAATTGGGCCAAACTTCCCACACAGAACCCCCATGACCAACAGAAAATATTGTGTTGTTGTAGGTTTTCTGGGCTATATGGCCATGTTCTAGAGGCATTTTCTCCTGACGTTTCGTTTGCATCTATGGCAAGCATCCTCAGCGGTAGTGAGGTCTGTTGGAAGTAGGAAAATGGGTTTATATATCTGTGGAATGACCAGGGTGGGACAAAGGACTCTTGTCTGCTAGACCGCCCTGAGTCGCCTGCGGGCTGATATGAGCGGGATATAAGTGATGTAAATAAATGTAAATAAATGTTTCAACTGACCACCTTGATTAGCATTTAATGGCTTGGAAGCGCCTGGGGGAATCCTTTTCTTTTTTTTTTTTTGAGAGGTGATTTGATGTGCCTGATTGTTTACTCTCTGTTGTTTTGCTGTTGTAATTTTTGAGTTTTTAAAATACTTTTTGAGTTTTTTAATCCCCTGAGGATGCTTGCCATAGATGCAGGCGAAACCTCAGGAGTAAATGCCTCTAGAACATGGCCATATAGCCCGGAAAACCTACAACAACCCAGTGATTCTGGCCATGAAAGCCTTCCACAATACAGAAAATACTGTGTTTTCTGATGGTCTTTGGCAACCCGTCTGACACCCCCTCATGACCCCCCCCAGGGGTCCTGAGTTCCAGGTTGAGAAACACTGCTCTAAGGTCATGGGGGGGGGGGGTCAAACATGGCCCTAAGGAGACTCTCCCATTGGCATGTTAGCTCAAGGTCACAAATAAATACCTTGGATATGTTACCTTTTAAAATCAGCAACCCTTTAATATCTTGTCTAAATTGGCAAATGAGATTGTAGGCCAAAAATAGGTAATATTCCAAAGCTCTGTCCTAATGTGATGTGTGCTTTTCCAAGTAGACATAATTCCAAACGTTTGCTCTGTAGTTTGAAGGAGTATGAGTTTTATTTTTTCCTTATATCAGGATTCTCCACTTCTACCCCCAAATGTTATCTGTACCAAACTTACATTTGTGCACAGAAAATAGTTCATTGTACACATTACACCTACTTTTTGAGACAAAATGATGTTATTTTGTGCAAATCTTTTGAAAACAATTTGTTGTTGTTCATTCGTTCAGTCGTCTCCGACTCTTCGTGACCTCATGGACCAGCCCACGCCAGAGCTCCCTGTCGGCCGTTACCACCCCCAGCTCCTTCAAGGTCAGTCCAGTCACTTCAAGGATGCCATCCATCCATCTTGCCCTTGGTCGGCCCCTCTTCCTTTTGCCTTCCACTTTCCCCAGCATAATTGTCTTCTCTAGGCTTTCCTGTCTCCTCATGATGTGGCCAAAGTACTTCAACTTTGTCTCTAGTATCTTTCCCTCCAGTGAGCAGTTGGGCTTTATTTCCTGGAGGATGTTATAAAATCGTCCTTGGTTGTACAATGATAAAAGAAAAACATTGAAATTATCCAATCATATAAGGTATGCAAGGTTTTTGTTTTATCAACAATGAGAGCAAAATAACTTACTGGAATATAAAGATAAAAGTTAGAGGAGCATGCCACTAATGGAGATCTGGGATATTTTCACTGGTTGGATCTTCTCGCAGTCCAAGGCACTCTCAGCACTTTCCTCCAACACCACAGCTCAAAAGCATTTATCTTCCTTCGCTCAGCCTTCCCTAAGGTCCAGCTCTCACATCCGTAGGTGACTACAGGGAATACCATGGCTTTGACTAGGCGGATCTTTGTTGCCAGTCTGATGTCTTTACTCTTTACTATTTTATCGAGACTGGACATTGCTCTCCTCCCAAGAAGTAAGCGTCTTCTGATTTCCTGGCTACAGTCTGCATCTGCAGTAATCTTTGCACCTAGAAATACAAAGTCTGTCACGGCCTCCACGGTTTCTCCCTCTATTTTCCAGTTGTCAATCATTCTTGTTGCCATAATCTTGGTTTTTTTGATGTTTAGCTGCAACCGGCTTTTGCGCTTTCTTCTTTCACCTTGATTAGAAGGCTCCTCAGCTCCTCCTCGCTTTCGGCCATCAAAGTGGTGTCATCTGCATATCTGAGGTTGTTAATGTTTCTTCCAGCAATTTTCACCCCAGCTTTGCATTCATCCAGCCCCGCACATCGCATGATGTGTTCTGCATACAAGTTAAAAAGGTTGGGTGAGAGGATGCAGCCTTGCCGTACGACTTTCCCAATCTTGAACCAGTCTGTTGTTCCGTGGTCAGTTCTGACTGTTGCTACTTGGTCCTTGTACAGATTCCTCAGGAGAGAGACAAGGTGGCTTGGGATGCCCATCCCACCAAGAACTTGCCACAATTTATTATGATCCACACAGTCAAAGGCTTTAGAATAGTCAATGAAGGAGAAGTAGATGTTTTTCTGAAACTCCCTGCCTTTCTCCATTATCCAGCGGATATTGGCAATTTGGTCTCTTGTTCCTCTGCCTTTTCTAAACCCAGCTTGAACATCTGGCAACTCTCGCTCCATGTATTGCTGGAGTCTTCCTTGCAGGATCTTGAGCATTACCTTACTGGCATGAGAAATAAGGGCCACTGTACGGAAGTTTGAGCAGTCTTTCGCATTTCCCTTTTTTGGTATGGGGATATAAGTTGATTTTTTCCAGTCTGATGGCCATTCTTGTGTTTTCCATATTTGCTGGCAAATGGCATGCATCACCTTGACAGCATCATCTTTTAAGACTTTAAACAGTTCAGCTGAGATCCCATCATCTCCTGCTGCCTTGTTGTTAGCAATGCTTCTTAAGGCCCATTCAACCTCACTCCTCAGGATGTCTGGTTCTAATTCATTCACCACACCGTCAAAACTATCCTCAATATTATTATCCTTCCTATACAGATCTTCTGTATAGTCTCGCCACCTTCTCTTGATCTCTTCAGCTTCTGTTAGGTCCCTGCCATCTTTGTTTCTTATCATACCAATTTTTGCCTGAAATTTACCTCCAATGTTTTAATTTTCTGGAAGAGGTCTCTTGTCCTTCCTATTCTGTTGTCTTCTTCCACTTCCATGCATTGCTTATTTAAAAATAGTTCCTTATCTCTTCTGGCTAACCTCTGGAATTGCGCATTTAACTGGGCATATCTCCCCTTTTCACTGTTTCCTTTTGCTTTCCTCCTTTCTTGGGCTACTTCCAGTGTCTCAGCAGACAACCATTTTGCCTTCTTGGTTTTCTTTTTCTTTGGGACGTACTTTGTTGCTGCCTCCTGAACAATGTCTCGGACTTCTGTCCATAGTTCTTCTGGGACTCTGTTTACTAAATCTAGTCCTTCAAATCTGTTCTTCACTTCCACTGTATATTCGCTAGGAATGTTAGTGAGATCATACCTAACTGGTCTGTGTATTTTCCCTGATCTCTTTAGTTTTATTCTAAATTGGCAATAAGAAGTTCGTGATCTGAGCTACAGTCAGCCTCAGGTCTTGTTTTCACCGACTGGATGGATGTCCGCCACCTTTGGCTGCAAAGGATGTAGTCAATCTGATTTCGGTGTTGACCATCTGGTGAGGTCCATGTGTAAAGCCGTCTTTTAGGTTGTTGGAAGGAGAGGATTCGTTATACACAGCGAGTTTTCCTGGCAAAATTCTATCAGCCTGCGTCCCGCTTCATTTTGTTCTCCCAGACCATGCTTGCCTGTGATCCCAGTTGTCATTTGACTTCCCACCTTGGCATTCCAGTCTCCTGTAATGAAAACAATGTCTCTTTTTGGTGTATTATCCAGTAGGTCCTGCAGATCCTCATAGAACTGATCTACTTCTGCTTCTTCAGCAGCTGTGGTTGGGGCGTATATTTGGATCACTGTGATGTTGAAAGGCTTTCCTTGCACTCGAATTGAGATCATTCTGTCATTTTTTGGGTTGTATCCAAGCACCGATTTAGCGAATTTCTTATTAATTATGAAGGCTACTCCATTTCTTCGATGTTCCTCTTGTCCGCAGTAGTAGATCTGGTGGTCATCTGATGTGAAGTGGCCCATTCCAGTCCATTTCAGTTCGCTGACCCCAGAATGTCTATCTTTAGTCTTGACATCTCACCAATAACAACATCCAATTTGCCCTGGCTCATAGATCTTACATTCCAGGTTCCTATGGTGTGTTGATCTCTAGAGCATCGGATTCGTCGTTCACCTCCAGTACCGTCGGCCGCTAGCCTTCCTTTCGGCTTTGAGCTAGCTGCGTCATCACATCTGGGGCTAGTTGAACTTATCCTCTGCTCCTCCCCAGTAGCATTTTGGCCATCTTCCGACCTGGGAGTCCCATCTTCCAATGGCATACCGACATATCTCTGGTTGTACTGGTCCATTTAGTTTTCTTGGAAAGGATACTGGAGTGGTTTGCCATTGCCTTCCCCAGGGATCACGCTTGGTCTGACCTCTCTGCCACAACCGTCCCGTCTTGGGTGTCCCTTCATGGTTTCGCTCATGACATCATTGAGGTGCTCAAGCTCCAGCGCCCCGACAAGGCGGTGATCCTTTGCTGGAGTGAAAACAATTACTGCTGGTCTAATTAAGGGTAGTATTATCACACTATTGTGTTTTCCACCTGTGGCACTGCTCTGCAGAAGCCCAAACCCACTCAAGGTTCTGCAGATTAAAGCAGAGGTTTGGATGAGACGTGGCCAAGCCTTCTCCAGCAGCACCGACTTGCTCCCATTGATCAGTATGCAGAGGAGAGCCGTTCCCGAGATGTTGCAGGGATGATTATAATTGCAAATGCAATGATTAAAATGTCAACAAACCTTTGATGAAGTTTATTTTTAATCCACTGTGTGAAGTGGTTGACTGTAAGGAACTGTACATGTTCCCTGGTTGGGTGCTATTTGCCAACTGTATGAGACACAAGATGTTGGGAACAAGCTGGATGCTTCCGCCCTTGTTTGTACATTTAGGAATGCAGCTACCTGGACCCAATCCAGATGTTAAGATTGTCCCCTGACAAATGAATTTAGCCCCATTCTTTTGGCAATCTTCAGAAGTTCTTCCATTGAATTTCTCCATTGCCTAGTAACACAAGATATGGAGCCTCAGGCGATCGAGTCAATCTAATCCTTCTGGAGACTCTGGAATTCCCCAGATGGCTCTGACCCTGACAAGTGTCTTTGATTTGTCAGCCCCTCTTTCTCATGGCTTAGTAAGAGCTGTAAGATAACATGAGCTGGTATTTCTGGAAAGCAGCCTACAAGAACTTTTTTGGAATTGAGTCCAAGTAAAGGTCTGAAAGAAGTTCTCCATCCATCTTACTAAACTTGCTTAATGGTCCAACGTACGGCTGCATGTGTCTTAACTTTCTCATTGAAGAGTTTGGCATTCTCTTTCTCCCTCTATAACCATCAAAGTCCTTCATCAGGGCATCGTATTTCAATAGTGCCATTTAGTGTCTGTTGAAGAGTGGAGAGAAGTTGGAGAAAGATTTGGCTCTCTCCCTACAGCTTGTTGGCTGAGAAAGGCGGTATACAAATATAGTAAATAAATAAATAAATCCTCTAGAAGACCTGTCAATGAAGGTCCGCGTAGTTAAAGTAATGGTACTTCCCAAAGATCACACTGCCAATGAAGATTTGCATAGTTAAAGCAATGGTATTCCCCATAGTCACCAATGGATGTGAGAGCTGGACCATAAGGAAGGCTGAGCGAAGGAAGATAGATGCCTTTGAACTGTGGTGCTGGAGGAAAAGTCTGAGAGTGCCTTGGACCGCAAAAAGATCCAACCAGTCTACACTTCAGGAAATAGAGCCCAACTGCTCAATGGAGGGAAGGATAGTAGAGGCAATGATGAAGTACTTTGGCCACATCATGAAAAGACAGGAAAGCTTAGAGAAGACAATAATACTGGGGAAAATGGAAAGAAAAAGGAAGAGGGGTCAACCAAGGGTAAGATGAATGGATGGTATCCTTGAAGTGACTGGCTTGGGGGTGGCCACGGTTGACAGGGAGCTCCGGCATGGACTGGTCCATGAAGTCACGAAGAGTCGGAAGTGACTGAACGAATAGACAACAACAGAAGACCTGGAGTGTATCTACAGTGTAAAATGTAGGCGATTTGACACCAATTTAACTGACATGGCTCAATGCTATCAAATCCTGGGAGTTGTAGTTTGGTTAAGCGTCAGCATTCTTGGGCAAAGAAGGTGAAAGACCTCATAAAACTGCATTCATTCTATAGGGTAGGTGCACCTTTAGATCTCTGTGGATGATTTTATCAGTGTACATCTAGTGTGGGAATGTAGCCAGATCCTTCTTCAACCCCTCACCCTCCACTAGTCACTGAATGTCTATGAAAGGAGGCTATCATAGTGTCATGGTGAATCCTTCTAGTGTGGGATGGGGAATTGTGTCATCATTTACCTGAAAAAGCGTTATTCTACATTAAGTGATGTAGGGATTAATCAAAAGTATGTGTATGTTACTGTATATCAGCATGGTTTTGTGAGGTAGCACTGTCCTCAAGAATATGTGTTTCAATGTTGTGGAGAGTCTTGTGTTTTTTATTGGGGGGATAACAAGAATTGAAGTGCTAGATCTATAAAAACCAACCATAGATCACCAGAAATGCCTTCGGGAGCCACAAGCTGCGAAGCAGAACGCTCCAGAATGACTGCACTCAGCCATATGGAAGAAGCTGTGCCGCTTTATTGCTGGACAATTTTTTTTTTTTACAAAAAAATCACTTTGTTTTATTAACCTGTGCCTTTGCAGTGATAAAGTACCGGGTAACTGTGCACACTGGGAATGTGAGTGGAAGCGGGACAGATGCACACGTCTTCGCTTGTCTCATTGGAGATCAGGGAGACACCGGGGATCGCGTCCTGCAGAACAGTGTGAACACAGTCAATAAATTTGAGAAGGCCAGTGTAAGTCAGTGTTCCTATGTGTGTCTGCTTCAAAGTACAGAGTAATATGCTTGCTGGAGAGGGAGCAAGAGGAATAGAGAGAGAGGAAACAAGACGGGACTGACCCAGCAGGACCAACTAAAGGCCTTTTGTTCAGAGAAGCAAATTGCAGCCACCGCTCCCCACTATGCAGACTAAAGTGCATAATGCCACAATAACTACCCTAAATAGTCACATTTAAGTATTAACACTGAATCAAAAAGATTAGTGCAAAGGAAGGATTTCACTTATTTCTCCCAGGTTATAGTATACTGCGGAGCCCCCTGTGGCGCAGTGGGTTAAAGCACTGAGCTGTTGAGCTTGTTGATCAAAAGGTCGCAGGTTCGATTTCGGGGAGCGGCATGAGCTTCCGCTGTCAGCCCTAGCTTCTGCCAACCTAGCAGTTCGAAAACATGCAAATGTGAGTAGATCAATAGGTACTGCTCCGGCGGGAAGGTAAGGGCGCTCCATGCAGTCATGCCAGCCCCATGATCTTGGAGGTGTCTATGGACAACGCTGGTTTTTCGGCTTAGAAATGGAGATGAGCACCACACCCCAGAGTCAGACATGACTGGACTTAATGTCAGGGGACTACCTTTACCTTTACCTATAGTATACTGCAGGGGTTCTCAAACTTATTCAGCCATGGAGCAATTTTTGAAGCAAAAGTTTCTTGTGAAGCTGCAAGAATTTTTATATATATTATATTGTATTATATTGTATTGTATTGTATTGTATTGTATTATAATATTATAATATATATTGTGTATGCGTGTGTGTGTGTGTGTGTGTGTGTGTGTGTGTGTGTGTGTGTGTATATATATATATATATATATATATATATATATCAGGCATGGGTAAACTTTCTGATGCATTTTGTTTAAAAATTTGACAGACGGACCAAGCCAGTGGTAGATGGATAGAAAGTATTTCCATGAACCAATTGAAAAAAAAATGAACATACAGTGTTCCCTCGCTACTTCGCAGTTCGCTTTTCGTGGACTCGCTATTTTGTGGGTTTTTGCCTCCCAGTTGCCCAGAGTGGTGTTCTAATCCCACCTCCTGGCAATGATGGAGTGTGGAAGTGGGTTTCACCCTCCTCCTCAAGAGAATGGCAGCCAATCAAGAGAGATTGCAAAGCACAGCAGAGATAGTTAGCCAAAAAAAAAAAAAAGTGCACGGTGCCTTTAAATCTTTCCTCACTTCTGACTCACCCTCGGAACGCAATATGCATATATAGTGTCACTACTTCGCGGATTTTCAGTTTTCGCGGGTGGTCCTGGAACGTAGCACCCACGATAAGTGAGGGAACATTGTATTCCCAAGATCCCAGAGGCCATCCAGTCCAACTCCCTTCTGCCATGCAGGAAAAGCACAATCAAAGCACCCCCAACAGATGGTCATCCAGTCTTTGTATTAATAATAATAATAATAATAATAATAATAATAATAATAATAATAATAGAAACAACCCCAGGGGCTATTCAGTTCAACTCCCTTCTGCCATGCAGGAAAGTACAATCAAAGCACCCCCAACAGAAGGTCATCCAGCCTTTATAGTAGTAGTAGTAGTAGTAGTAATAGGAACAACTCCAGGGGCCATTCTGCCATGCAGAAAAATCACAATCAAAGCACTCCCTTAGTTGTAAAAGGGAAACAAGCTTTTGATAGCAAGGAAGGCAGAGAAAGGAGGAGGAGTGATCTGCAGAGGCCCCC